CTGTATTTTAACAGACATGAATGGGGGAAACATGACATGTTGGGGCTTGTACAAACTCAAGGTTTAAAACTCTTTTTGAAACCAATGAATGGCTCACTGATTGTGCCATCTCATAAGGAACCGGGAACCAGTTGGTTGCATTGCATTATATATTTTTATAAAAGTAGCCAACATTTTCCGAAAGTCCGCCCTTTTTTGTTTTTCTAACACCACAACTAAGATTCACCTCCACCAAACTTGTACATTAGCTTCAATTGTTGTATTAATATGGAGTGAGAACAATCCAACTGCATGTGACCAAACTGCAGCAAGCAAGCACAGTCGTTTACTTCTCATTTTCACTATTCACTTTTTTTTTTTTTTGAAAACCTTTTAAAACCAAGCCAGTCCAGTTGCATTCTCCTGAATGTCTTACAATCTAATAAATTGACATGCTTCAATGACAACTGATAAGTGATAATAATAAAAAACAGAATTCCAATCCTACCTCTATCACAAACTCTCACGTGACTTCGCTCTGACCCCGCTGACTTTTATTAAGCTGCGTCACTGCTTTAAACGACAGAGAGACTGACAGCCAGCAACACCTGGCTACAACGTTTGCTTCACTGGTGTCGCTAATGAGCAGAACAAACACACCTAAAACACACAAACCGTCAGCAGCTCCAAACGACACTGTAAAAATTGACTTTAATAACTAGCGGATACACAATTAGCCACAACAGCGGACGTTGTGTAAAGACCATAGAAAAAAGAAGTCGACAAATAAAAGCAGTTTGGTCGTTTTTAAAGACAATTCGTGACAACTGAGCGAGTCAACGACTGAATGACTGACCCCGCCGACCCTACCTCCTCCCCCCGCACCTAAAAAGAAGGGAGTAAAGAGGAGTCAAAAGGTTTTTGTTTTCTTAAAGAGTACTCACTTCAGTCTGGTTAAAAACTGCCACGTCCGTCGATAACGGGCCTTAAGTGTCAGTCAGTAGCTCCTCTTCCTCTCCCGTTCTCTTAAATCTTCATGCGGTGACCCAGCCCTTTGATGAAAAGGTGGAGTCAGTTCCTCTCTGCTAAGAGCTGGTCGCCTAATATGGACGTAATCAACTGTCAATCTCAACTGTCAGTATGAGAAGTAGAAAAAAAGAAAGTAAAGTCATCAAGTTATTTCCTTACTGCCTTGTTAATCTCAAAGTAGAGGGGATGTGTTTAAGTCCAACTACCTCGTGAGCACACTCCACAAACGACAGTGATGAATGTTAATAAAACAGCAGGTGAACCCATTTTTTTAACAGTTTTTAATTTGACATGTTGCTGAAACAGGAAATGAGAAAAAAAAAAAAACGTTTCAGTTTCCTTTTATTCCTTTAAACACTTTAGTGCAAAGGAAATCCTGGTGGTGGTGCTGTTGCCCTGGAGGTACTTGAAAGCAGTTCATGTAAAAAAAAGTTATTCAATTATTAATTAAATATAACATAGGCCTTTATATTTTTTATATATAGCATGTGCGTGTCAGTCTCCATTGTCTTGTCCTTTTTGTGTTTTAAGGCATAATAATTATCATTGTTAGCGTTAAAAAAACAATGCCTTCAATGAGGCCCACAAGCCTGCTGATAAAAGGAATTAAATTATTAACTATTGGACTATCACATTAACCTCTACCATGACTACTTGAGTAACATCATACACATTCTTTTATTACTTATCCTTGCTTGTGTCGTTTTTACTTAAGCCCTTGTATCGCTTAAATCTGATCATATCATTTCTGTTCCATATTTTATTGCAAGGACAGATGGGCATCAGGGTTAACGCACTAAAACATGTGGTAAAAGTTTTAAGATGAAAGTTTTAAAATTATTTTAAAGGGGAACATTATATCATGTATTTTTAATATGTGTGTTTATGTACTATTTGGGTAATTCATAAGTACTGAAGAGATCTGTGGTTACTTCTGGTACATTTCTGTTGTGCAACATGTGGCGTGATTTCTTTTATATTGTTTTATTGTCTGAGCCCTATATTTTTAAACGGCTGACTCAGTCGAGGTAAAGGTGAGCAACAAGTGATTTTTGAAGTTTTACTGTAGGTCGTTGCATCACTTCTAATACTGAATTATCTGATAACAAAGATGGATGGGAGAAGTGAAAATAAGAATTTAGTGCTGTGTCTTTACGCCTTATGCCCATAAAAAAGAGGGCAAAAAACACTTTGTTTATGATACTTGAACAGCAGTTAAAGAGATGTTAAGAGAACAAAACCATTTGTTAGACCAGCGTATTAAAACTTATCACTCACCACTGTTATCTTTTTGTCGGCATATACAGTACTATAGATGTTCTTCTCAGTATATGCTGACAAAGTCTTGTAATGTTCCAAAGTTACGACCTCCTTTGTCTTGTGTCATGTGACCAGAAGATAAAGATCATCAGAGACCTCTGACGTTGAAACAGTTCTTTTCTTCACGGTACATGACAGTGGACCTCCGATTTTTTTCAGCATTTCTGAAATTGTTGATCACCCTAAAAGTGGCCCACAAAAGAAGCTCTGCATGTATTTTTTTACAGTACAAAGTTACCCTTAAAGTAATAAGGTACTTATTTGGTCTGAACTGCAGTTTTATATATATATTTTTCTTAACTATAGTTCACATCTTGTACCTAAACTGGAATTACCACCATCAACATAAAATTAAGGTAATGTTCAGATGACACATATTCCTTACACATAGATTAAGTAATACATAACTGAACAAGTTGTTCAAAGTTCAAATGGTAACAATGGTAACAAAAAGAGAGGAAGTCTGCCACATTGCTGACGGGAAATGCTTGAGTCCCTGTAAAGCCTGTTGGTAGTTGCATGTGTGTTAGGGTTTGGCTTAACTGATTTACAGAGAATACGCCTGACGTGTGTCACCTGCTCGTGTGATTATAAATCTTCCACCTGCAGAACGTCTTCAACCCCGTCACTCACCTGCAGCTGAAGGGAGATAAAAGGATATAAATCATAATTCAAAATTTGGAATTGCACCTAAAATGCATTCTGTCCAAAAGGTCACTCATACCATTTAAACATCACACTACACAAAAATACAACAAATGTCTCAAAACAGCTAAAACAAAGTCTGATATTATAATATGTTAAATGCCATAGCATTTTGGAACACATTAAGCTTAGTTTTATTATTAGCTTAGTTTTGTATGCAATGAGTTTTTTTGTTTGTTTGTTTGTTTGTTTGACACTAACTGCTGGTTTTGCCCTTAAAAGGTAAGTAATTTTAAATATTTTCACCTTAAAATGAAAAGTAGACCTTGAAGTTGATCCACAGACACATGACCAAGTGTTTGGTTGAACTTTGTCCCCATTATGCTTGGAATCTGTAACTGGTTTGAGGTCTCAGAGTGACACTAATTGTGGATGTCATGAGTAATGACAGTGTAGCATGTTAACCGACGATCAAAGACGACAAAAAAAACAACAACAAAAAAACCCAAAAAAACACACACAAAAAACAACAATCAACAAACAGGTTGTACTTCCTCCTGTGTTACATTTCTGTCTCACAGAACAATCAACAGGTCTGATCTGTCAGTTGTGTTTCCTGTCAACATCATCACTCTTGGAAGTGGGGAAAACGTACAGTAAAAGTTCTGCAACCCTGAGGTTTTTTTTCAAGTTTCGGTCATCGTTTCAGGAGGTCAAGCCAGTGAAGTGCACATGGAATTATCAACATCAAGTACTCTGAGAGATAGAAGCCCACTACAAGGCTGTCAAAAGCCCCTCCTCACCCTTTCTCCCTTATAATAATAATAATAATAATAATAATAATACGATGTGTTAGTGTAATACACATAGGTTTATTAAATTTTTCTTCATTTCATCAAATAAGTGACGTTGTTCAATACCGTTCATAACCACAGCCATAGCGACCCCAGGCGGCCATTCTGAAACATTGTACTGTAATCGTATTATCTATTATAACGTCTCGTTGAAGTAGTAGTAGAAGTTTTTTTTAACACACTTTTAAACACTTGGTTTTTGAGTACAAACAAATATTAACACGACTTTGTTCATATTAAACTATTTTTGTTTTCCCCCAATGTTTAATTATGCCAATATACTAAAGAAAAACTCTTTTTAACTTATTGTGCAGCAAAAGAATATAAAGAATATTTTTTTAAAATCACCCCGAAATTACTGCAGTATTTTATTTACATTTATGAGAAATAAACGACGATGATTGGGCATGCTAAAAAAGTGACATTTATTTTTTTTCTAGTATTTCTGTGTCAAATGTCCCTTGCATTTTTTTTTTTTTTTTTGGGGGGGGGGTTCAATTGACTTTAGTGAGTAATATAAAAAAAGCCCTTTAATAATTCAATCTGACTCAAATATTACATTAAATAATACATTATACATATAAACATTTCAACAGACACTGTTCCATCACCGTCCCAAATGCAGTACCACTGAGTTGTTATTTCACACTCAAAGTAAAGCATAACATAATAGGTTCAAAAAGCTTCTTCATGCAGGTTTCTGTTTCACCGGACTGTTCACAGAAAGACCATACCCTAGAATGTCACTTTTTACATTCAAGACAAAGGGAAAAGTCATGGCAGGCCTCATAAAACACCCAGCCCTCAAGGGCTGAGTGATATGAGCCACTGCAGCCATACATGCCTCAGTTGGTGAACACTGACTCTTCTCTTCATTGAAGAGACTTTTCAGAGTATAAACTCCATCTCTATTTAAGGAAAAGACTTAGAGTTCAACTGTGATGTCTTTAAATACCAAGAATTTAAATGACATGTTACTGAGATGTCTCAAAAAAGCAGAGAGAGCGGCACAGACTACCAAACACCCAGAAATGTTTGTGGGTTTCCCTCTGTTCCATCTGATCTACATGTGGCCTGAGGACGAAAAGTTGTTTTCTCAGGACCTTTACCAGAGGGCCGGGCTTTGACGGGACAAATGAGCTGCCTCCTCTGGTGAGGGATAAGAAGAAAGTAAAGGAGAAAAAAATGATAGAGAGGGAGGGCGGAGGAGTGGTTTGGACAGATCTTTTCCAGCCCTTCTTTTCTTTCAACTTATAGATCATCTTTATACACACACCCACACACTCAGAGGGAGAGCTGCAGTGTATAGACGGCAACTGTAGAACTGTAGGGCACGGAGTAGACAAAGTAAGGATGTGACATCACCAACAGGAAGAGACGCTGAACAACTTTTTCTCTCTTCGGTGTGTTTTCTTTTGCTGCCGTGAGAAGTAAGTGAGCCTCCCAGCCTGTTATTGGCTGACGGAGAGGGCATAAACCCAGGAAGGAGCTGGAGGGAGTGTCTGCAGCTGACCTACAGCTTTCTCAGCTGACCTAATTTTTAAAGTCAAGGGATCCCACGCCCAAATCTTCAACAACTTTCCACAACGTTTTCCTGGATTTTAAGTATTCCAGCCAGGTACAGTGCAGACAGATTTTTCCTTTTTTTCTTCTGTTTTGTTTTATTTTGTTTTTTATCATGACGTCTATTAGCTTGCAGTGTCACAGGCAAAATTCCTTAAAGACCATAAAAGTATGCATGGATGGCTGCCAGCAGTGCGTGTTTAGACATGCTTATAGTCACACACGACACTGCTGAGGCATGTGAGTCTTTTCTCCGTCTTACAAGCTGTCACATTTTATTAATTTACAGAGTCTCCAGCACACACACCGTACGTATTGGCTGGAACTGTGTTTCAGGAGCAGACAAAGCAACATAAGTGTTGGACTTCCTTAGAAGCCTTTTGTAAAGGACATTCATAGACGTATCTTCTGACCACGTATTCATCCTGCTGCTCCTCCTCTGGTTAGTCTTGAACCAAGATCAGCAAGACTGTGGAAGCTAGTGGAAAGTCAAAGTCTCACATATCAAAATGCTGACTGCCTTTAAAACCCTCACCATTTTCTTAGAACTCACTCCTCATGTGAGGAAAGTGGAAGTAACACAAACACCCAAGCAGTTCCACCTTCGTTTTTATCTACCGTATTGTGCAGAGACGACAGTGACGACAAACAGAAACTTCCCCATGTTTGTGTCACAGACAGTGAAAAGAAAATGTTCATGGTGGCAGATCAGAATGGAGCTGGGGACACAAATGCAGACGTAGGATCAAATTGCAGCCGCGGCCTTTTTGATGTGACTGCAGGGTCACATCCAGTGGGAGACGACAGATGTTTTAATCCTCCAATGTCCTAAAATAAACCACATACAACAATACACATTTACTGGTGCAATGGTGGCCAAACTTTTCTGCAGCGCCACCACATTTTGTCGAAACATCCAGGTTCAAACATTTCTTAACAACAACGTAATAACAACATAGTTCCTAGAAAACTGATAATACAGCAAAGTAAATAAATTAAATACATTTGTGCAAAATAAGTTATTAAATACATGATGTATTGGAACTGTAGTTCACAGAGCTGAAGTTGAAGTAAAGTCACATTGAAGGTTTTACCCACAGTTTGTTGTGTCCTTTGACCTTGGTTTGCCTGTTTATAACCCAGTACATACAGTAAAGGTTATTCATTATTAAATTATAATGTGCTGACCGCTTGATTACCTAAAACGTTGTGAGTAAATATTAAATGTTGAGTGGACAGCTCAATTTTTTTTATCAGTCAGGAATAGTTGCAGAGAAAAGGCAGGAAAAGACTAACTATAGTTGTCGTTCCCTTTTTCACAGGAGATGTCTGTTCATCTGACAACAGGACGTCACTGCAATCTTTGCCTGACAGACACTGACCCCGTGTGACCTGATCTAGAAGCTGGCCCTCTTTTAGGAAGGCTCCACATCTTTGATCAAACTCTAAACCAAACATTGTTCTAAGACAGCTCTCCCTCCCTGAATCTCTGAGGAAACAGAGAACGTCGATGGCGCTGTGTCTTGGCCAAGTGTTCATCAAAGACAAAACGTTCAGGCCAAAGAAACGTTTCGAGCCTGGGACACAGCGGTTTGAACTTTACAAAAAGGCCCAGGCCTCACTCAAGTCTGGCCTGGACCTGAGGAAAGTGGTTCAGCTCCCGGAAGGAGAAAGTATGAACGACTGGATCGCTGTTCATGTGGTGGATTTCTTTAATAGGATCAACTTGATCTATGGCACGGTGAGCGAATACTGCTCAGAGCGCACCTGTCCCATCATGTCCGGGGGTCTGAAGTACGAGTATCGGTGGCAGGACGGTGATGACTACAAGAAACCCACCAAGCTGCCTGCTCTGAAGTACATGAACCTGCTGATGGACTGGATAGAGTCCCTCATCAATAACGAGGAGATCTTCCCCACCAGAGTAGGTGTGTGTGTGAGCAGTCTACAAATGCCTTCCTTTATTGAACAGATTGTTACCTAATAAAATGATGGAGTGCTAATGTTGTGCGGCGTCAATGTCACCCCAGAGTGCCCTACAGTTATTTATTATCAACAGCACAAATGAGAAGATGAAGTTCAAGCAGAGGTTAATGAAACAATAAGACTTGACATTTAAAGATGTTATTTTTATTACAGCAGCACATTTAGACAAATGCTTCATGGATATGAGAAGTCCGTCCATAATGACGGCAGGAGTGTGAGACCAACGGCACTCACAGATACAAAAACACCACCAGGCATGTCCACTTTACCACATAGTTCTGGGTGTAATTTAAATGAGATCATCCTAACTCAACCATATGAATAGTTGAATCCATTTGTGGCTGTGGTGAATTAGCTATTTTCTAACTGAAGTTTAATTGTTCTTAATGCCTCTACTGGCTGATACATACAGTTTACATTTCTTTTAGTCGCAAGAAACAATACATTATAAATACAGCAGATGTGTGTTTCACATCGATGCCGTTGCATGTGTCCAGTTTCAAGTTCACTGACCATTGGCAGCATTTTGTCTTTTTCTATTTATTTTGCATATGGTCTTTGTTTTTCTAGATAAAATATATATTAAGTGGCAACCCTTATATGTGTTGTAACTGGTTTCATGTTTTCATATTTGTGGATATATGCAGACAGAATACGTACAGCATATATTCTATGGGGATTCTTTAAAAAATAATCTTAGGTCAGTTCTCGATGCCTCTTCGAACTTGTCTAATACCAATTTCCACTGTGTACTAGGTGTGCCGTTCCCCAAGAACTTTCAGCAGGTGTGTAAGAAGATCCTGAGCCGTCTTTTCAGAGTCTTTGTGCATGTGTACATCCATCACTTTGACAGCATCTGTAACATGGGAGCAGAGGCCCACATAAACACCTGCTACAAGCACTACTACTACTTCATCTCAGAGTTCAACCTCATTGACCACTCGGAACTGGAGCCACTGGTGAGACAACAGATTGATTGTTGTTTTAAATGATCCCAACCATCATTCTGTTAGATAATATGATTTAGACCCCACTGTGGATTATCCACAATGAGAAAAAATTGATTTCCTGTGTCACACATGAGTGTGGTTTACATTGTATTCAATCCAGGATACTTTGTCCTTGAAAAGATTTTATACACGTGATATTTTTTTTAAATTTTATTATTATTTTATTTTTAGAAAATGGAAGTTTCTGGGACTAACCTTTTGCAATAAATTATCAATTTGAAAGCTCTACAAAGTGTTATACTAATCTACAGAAAAATATGAATCAAATATTTCCTTGAATCTACTGCAATTCGATTAGTCAACCTTCTTTGTACAATTTAAAATGATTAGAGCAAATTCTGAATGGTTTCTTGTGCATGGTTGTCTTTTAAGGTTATTCTAAATACCATTTAAAACATAACATTTATTACTTGGGCAAAACCAATATCTTTGTTTGTTTGTTTGTTTTTGTGACCATATCAGATATGATCTTTGTAGATATTTTAGATTTGAGTTTTCCTATATATAATATAATATACATTATATATATATCTTTCATATATATATAAAAATTCAATTTCCTAACAACCAATTGTTTTCTCTGTTTTCTTTTGCTACAGAAAGAGATGACGGAAAAGATATGTAATTAAACAGGAGTGCGGGGACAAGGGAGTCTGCATTCTGATGTGATCTGAGCCTCATGAGAAATCATCAACTTGAAAACATTATTAAAAAAAACGTACAGTTTTTATGGCAGATGGTGACAATGTACTTTTACAGATTTTATTTTACTCACAGTGCAGTGATGCAATTATAACAGCATATTGATATTAAATACACCCAATGTGCTCATGTCTTTTTTATTTTGCATGTGTATATTTGTTCTTTTTTGTTTACGTTTCTGTATGTGCAGATGAACAGTGTTGTTTTTTCTATAAAAGTGGAATACTTTACATATTTTTTGTGTTTTTTTTTAAATAAAGTCAAAATGCTAAGAATGTACTGCATATGTTTTATTTCAAATGGATTGTGGTATATGACCTTTGCATAACATACTGGTACTTTGATCTGGATCTTGACCCATTATAGTACTAACTTGACCTACTTCCTGGATGCTCCAAAAAGGGAACTACATTTCTTAGTGACATTTCCAAATAAAAACTGAGAGACAAAAACAAGACATTTTAATCCTGCCATAAGTGCTTTGATGGAATGTTATCTTGATGTTATTTCCTTTATACAAGAGTATTACTTCCTAATATACACCATTTACTGGTTCGTGGTATTTTAATAAATAACGTGAAACAATACTGTTTTGTATGCAATGCAAATTATTGTTTACCGAGCAAATTAATTTCGTCCCTATCCGTCACCGACGAAAAATATCCCTCTGCGTGGACAGTGATTCTACGTCATGTGACGTGAACAAATTGCGTCACCTTCGACCAATAGAAGACAAAGCTTATGTCAAATGGGAGGGACCAATGTTTGTTGCTTGCTTTCCCGCTCCAGCTTGCGTCAGCAGCTGTTTGAGTGATGGAGTTTCAACGAGCGTTGGATCTTAACACCATCCCGCAGGGGCTGTGACACAGGGCCTGGTGCAGTTTGGCAGGTGAGAAAGGGCTTTCTCTATCGGTTGTTTTTGTTATAAATCAGTCCATGTACAGTTTAAATATCGAAGTTGGAAATAGACGTTAAATAGGTGAACGAACTGGTTCTTGTTTGCTGACAGGCGCTAACGACAGTTGCTTTATGTTGACTGCTAATGCTAACGTTTTCTAATTCAAATGCCTGGTCAATATTTCTTCACAGACGGTGCCAGTATGTTGTCAAACGACACTGCTAATGATAAATATAGACAAGGCTGTCAGACATCGGTTTTTATGAAACTGCCGACTTCAACAGCAGGCTCTATCACGTCAGCGCGATAACATTTGGCTGCGTTGTCTAATGCAACATTTTATTTTATCTTATTTGCATTTAGCTTACAATCTGGCCGATTAATGGATGACCGCTAGACCGTATGAAGTTGCCATGTATTGTACGATGAAAAACTAGTTATTGAGTGAGTCCAATGAGTAAAAACAAGTTCTGTCGTTCCCTTTTAAGTGACTTTGTATTCGGTATCTATGTAGTAAGGCTTGTTTTATTCCTAGTCAGGAATGACTGAGCTAGCATTAGAAGAAGTACAATTTTAGTTGTCTGTCCTGTTTGTTATTATACATATTCATTTATGTAAATGGCGCAACCAAGCCTACAGTATGACCTCAATGAAAAACATGTTCCGTGTTTCCACATGGATTACTAAAATGTAAAATTATTTTACTGTTGTCGTGTCTGTCTCAGGTGCAGTTATGGTGTGGCACAACATGATGACTGAGTTACAGGTTCTACAGCCTTCTCTACAGGTAGGATTTCTAAACTTTTTTCCGACCACTTTTACAAAGTTTATTTCAAGTTAAATGACATGGGCTTGTTAATGCATGTAGCTAGAAAGTCAAGCACATAGTTGGACAGTGAGCAAGCTGTTAATTCTCAAACATAGGCTTCATGACACTGTGTGAGTCATACTTTGCTCACAGCGGTGTGACTCTTTCCTGTCATATCCAGGGTTAGATAAGACCTGTCATGACATTTCCTGATTTACCATCAGACCATTGATTTGGCTTGTTTTCACAGGGGAACATAATCAGTACAGCTGTCATACCCGTTTTTGAATGTAGTTAATCTCTCTTAAAAAACAACTTCATACTGCACACATATCAAGTGAGGCACTGTAGGTTTAGTGCACTGTACGTTTACTTAATCTGTAGCATTAGGCTGTGGAGTAGTTCCCTCTTTTGATTGTCTACTTGATCTTCCGAAGACTTCTGTTCTCTCACTTCCTCTCTCACTCCTCTGTGGACTACTTCTGTAACAGGGTATGCCACTGTCTTTGAGCCAAATAGGACAGAGCTGTGGGGCAACTCAAGAAAGTGACATTTTCCCAGAGGACAGACGACACCTTTCCCAAGGCCCACTTGGTACAAAAGTTTAAAATATGACCTAGAGAAAACATCCAAATGTTTGGTTGGTGTTTGGTTGTTTGTATAGATCTAAAATATGACATTCCTGTAAACTTTGGATTCTTTTAAATCGAAGGACTATATTTTGGCAGATTTGGAACAAAGCCAACCAGTAAACATTCCAGATGTGGCAAAAAGAAAGAAGAAGAAAAGAACTAAGGCAACAGAGAGCTTTACGGGCACTTTCCATGGTATTAAAGGACTTGTTTTTGTCAGAATAAAATAAAAATTAATTGTTATACAGTCCTTGTTGTGGACTAACTACTGTTTTTTTTCTCCCAGAGCTCTACAAGCTGACAGATGAAGTCCTTGGTCAGGGTGCTTATGCCAAAGTTCAAGGATGCATAAACATGCAGAATGGACAGGAGTTTGCTGTTAAGGTAAATAAGAGGTTGTCAGGAGCTTACCAATGTGTGATCAGTAAAAAACAAAACAAAAACTATTATAGTGTCCATTGTTGTCTTATTAGATAATAGAAAAAACTGCAGGTTACAGCCGCAGCCGTGTTTTCCGAGAAGTGGAGACACTCTACCAGTGTCAGGGAAACAAGTGAGTACATTAAGGAGAGGTTATGAAATTGAAAGAAAAAAGCACATACACAGTTTTAAATAATTTCCAAATGTCTTGCTGCAGGAATATTTTGGAGTTGTTCCACTTCTTTGAAGACAGCACCTGCTTTTATTTGGTATTTGAAAAGCTCCGTGGAGGTGAGAAAAGATGACTGACTCCTGAGTAACAGCTTCTCTGTGGAGTTTCTGTGTCTCATGACAATGCACTGCTTCTCTGATCCCAGGTTCAATTCTCACACATATACAAAACCGTAAGCACTTTGATGAGTTGGAGGCCAGTAAGGTGGTCAGAGATATTGCCCTAGCCCTTGACTTCTTACACACTAAAGGTTAGGAAATATATGAAAAATCTAGCCCAGCAAATGGAATTAGTTTTCTTGTTAACAATGGGCTTTTCTGTAGGCATTGCTCATCGAGACCTCAAGCTAGAGAACATCTTGTGTGAATTTCCAAATCAGGTAAGTAGGCACCCAGTGACAAGAAGCTTTCTCATGGACTGAATGTCAACCTGGAGATCACCATTGTAATTATGTCTTTTAATGTTTGCCCTCAGGTGTCACCTGTGAAGATTTGTGACTTTGACCTGGGCAGTGGAGTGAAGCTAAGCAGTGCCTGTACTCCTATAACAACCCCAGAGCTCACCACACCTGTAATTGTCAAATTCTACATTTGAAGCACACACACACACACAAACAGAATCCTTCTGAAGGAATATGGTTCTTGACTCCTCTTGTGTTTTTCCTGTCAGTGTGGCTCAGCCGAGTACATGGCTCCAGAAGTGGTGGAAGTCTTCACTGATGAGGCCTCCTTCTATGACAAACGCTGTGACCTCTGGAGCCTCGGAGTCATCCTCTACATCCTGCTGAGTGGTAGCCCACCATTCACAGGTCACTGCGGCACTGACTGCGGCTGGGATCGAGGAGAAACCTGCAGAACCTGTCAGGTAAAGTTTTTATCTACTGACTTTTGTCTTCCTCAGCCGACGCAGCTGTAAATGTTCAACACTCTCTGTTTACAGAGCAAAGGTTCTTTCCGCCTCCACTGTCACGACACTGAATCAGGATAAATGTTTAATGTAGTTTCACTGTTATGGTTATTAACAAGTGCAGAGTAAATGTGATGTTTTTTGTTTTCTCATCATTGTAACTCATCAAAACAATTACAGTAGTCCTGATAATGTACACATTTCTGTCCTCAGAGTAATCTGTTTGAAAGCATCCAGCAGGGGAAGTACGAGTTTCCAGACAAGGACTGGTCTCACATCACAGACAAAGCCAAGGATCTCATCTCTAAGCTCCTTGTACGAGATGCTACACTTCGCCTAAGTGCTGCTGAGGTTTTAAACCACCCATGGGTGCAAGGGGTGAGTGTCAGTCCATCAAAAAAAAAGTCCATCATCGTGAAGTATTTTGAGTATTTTCACTTTTTGTTTCATCATGTACTAAAGAAAACTACTTGGTTTTTTTTGTCAACAGGATGCCCCAGAGAGAGGTCTTCCCACCCCTCACGTTCTACAAAGGTGACAGTTGATTTCAGAGGACTTGAATAACTTTCTTTACTCAGAAAGTTCCTGTTTTATAACTTTACCTCTCTTGTTTTCTTCCAGGAACAGTAGCACCAAAGATTTGACCCTGTTTGCAGCAGAAGCCATTGCCTTTAACCGTCAGCTGTCCCAGCATGATGAGCAGCAGGAGGAGGAGGGGGTGGCGGTGATCGTCTGCTCCATGAGACTTTCTCCTCCGTCCAACTCCAGGCTGGCTCGTAGAAGAGCAGAGTCCAATGCCCTTCGCTCCCAGGACTTCACTTCTTCCTTTGACGACCCTGCAGCCTGAAGGAGCAGTACAAGTCCACAGTCATATCTTTTAAGCTTCCGCCTTTCCCTCAATTGGTTTCCAATGATCTAGAAAGCATCTTAAATTTAAATTTAATTTTTCCACATTTTAAAACTGTTTGACACTAGAAAAAGGCTGTAAAGTGACAAAATGTGGAAAACGTCATCACCATGAACTTTGCGTTTCACGGGATTTTCACTTCTTTTTTTTTTTTTTTAACTCACTGTGACAGCACTAAGGTGACAGTTATTTGTTACCACCTCGCTGGTTAATATGCCTGGTATTTGAAAAACATACAAAGTCTTTAAATATTTATTTATTTACAATATTTTATACAGTTTATAACATTTTCTTTTGTCTCAGACTGTGAATTGACTGTTACTTAAGTGTTACTGCAGGAAAAACAGTCTTATTTTTTAATTCTGTATGCAGTCTGAAGATAAGACAAAAATCCACTACAAGTATAAGAGGATTCAAAAAGTATGTTGCAAATAATTTGCAAGTTATTCCAGCCTACACGGAAACATACTTAATTTAGGCCAATAAAGTAATGTTTTTATTTGTAGCTATTTCCTGTCACCACCAGCTTCCATTAGCACCAACATAAGCTACTGATTTAGCCAAAGGGAAAATATTTAAGTGGCTCTTACAATAAGAGTTTTATAGCTCTCTTAGAACTGTATTTTTAAAGCAGGTTTTAAAACTTTACCTCAGACTCTGATTTGCACCATGTCTCCACATGTTCTTAGTGTAAAAAAACACCATCCCTGAAAGTCTGGTTCTCCTTCCATTCTACTGGACCTGCACTTACAGTAACAACATATCATGGATTATTAAGTCTAAATGATGTGAATGCGTTGAGTATTCTTTGGTTTCTAGTTTTATGTGAAGATAAGGATACCATACTGAATTAAGAGATGTTTATTTTTATAAACCATAGTTTGTCATCTTTCTGTTTGTTCTGTGGATTCTTATTATTCGGTTGGTTTGGGTCTGTGAATGTGTCAGTTGGAAAAAAAAAATCAGTTAACTAAAAATGATGTATATATTTACCAATATTACTAGTATATTTACTGATTTTGATTGATGTACTGTATGTAGACAGAGCTAACTAGTGGTGTGAAAGATTAATGAACGGTTAAATGAAAGAAAAAAAAGTGTTGATGTATTTTCATCGTGACTACATACAGTAATTGCAACATTTATTTATGCCATTTTATCAACACTGTATTTTTATTATTTTTATTTCTGGACACGCTGTTTTAATCTTCATCTTCCACTACTGTATCCTTTTACTGTTACTTTAATGCTTTTTCCAATCCGATTTACCAGCGCCACCAGGGCCAGGCCATTGCTATAGCAACAAATGGCCTTTACAGAATAGCAGGGATTAAAGGTGATGTTTCTGAGCTCATACACACATTAAAGAAGAACTGATTACCAGGTTAGAGCACTCTCACGAATCATAAAACTCTCTCCCTCTCTCTGTCTCATTACCCTGTGCTGACAGTGAGTGAGATTACTGGGAGCTAATTGGTTTGGAATTATTTCCTAATGTTAACTGTTAGTGAACTCACTTCTTAGCAGTCTTCCTGTCAACAATGACTCTTATAATTTGAGTTTTACCTTCTTAATAAAACAAACTGTCCAACATGTTCTCTTGTCATCCATTTATTTTGTACTATCTTATGAGGAACAAAATAATACCTGATTCCTAGTATTAGTGTTCATTTCATTTCATTCCTTTTTTTTTTAAATGCTCACCCTACAATGATCAGCCAGAACGTGAGCACTGACAAGTGAAGTAAATTAACAAATCAGCAGAAGTAACGTTACATACCGCCCACTCGGTCTGACGTCGTCACTTTCTAAAGTACCCACGTACAGGATATTCGTGCCGTTTATCTGGTGGATTCGGCTCCATTAAACAGCGCCCTCTGTGGACCTTTATTATCGTAACATGTGGTAAGAACAGGGGCGCAGCAACAGCTCACTCCGTGGCTGACCATCTGAAGACACTGTCAGAGACAATGTCCTGTTGAACATGAGGGATGGTGGAAACTAATAACTGGACTACACATCTGAATTAACGTAAGTGACGCTTCGATGTGTGTTTCCAAAGTCTGAAGCCTGACCTGAACTGAAGTTTACATTCAAATATCCGCTGTTTTAACTTAATTAACAAAGACGCGCTGCATTGTCACTGACTGAGAATGTCTAATGCACTTCATTAGTGTAATTTAATGAAAAAAAACCCGATATGGAATTAACATAGAATATCTTTTGGAATTGTATTATTTATATGGGTGCATCATTTATGTGACGTGTATAACAGATGTATGTTGCTGGTGTGCAAGAGAGAATATGACCGACCATCTCAACCTTAATGCTTACACACACACACACACACACACACACACACACACACACACATATATATATATATACATATATATATATATACTGTATATACACTGTATATACTTTATATACTGTAACTACATATGTAATAAATATAGAGTATATGTAATGCTCATCTCATTGAGGAAATTATGCTTCTACAACATTAAAAAAGGAATAGCAATATTTGTGTATGTGTAATACCTGGCAATCATCCGTCCACTACTTGACTAAGTTAACGGTGTGTCCACATCACCTTATTAACTTAGTCATTCTCCACTAAGTTTTAACAGTAACCCTCCATCCTAAGTCGTATTACTGCCACCTACTGGATTTTCATCTTGTTCGAAGTCCCATTTTTCAAACAGAACACTCACGGAGAAGGAAATCTCATTTCTACAAGTCATTTCCCAACACTGAGTTGATACCCACAGTTGGTCAACAGAAAATGTTTTTCTAGCTGTATAAAAAGTTCATTAAGCTTAATTTGCACAAATACTTATAATAATAATATACCCACAGTAGTACTATATCTAAAACATCAAGGCTTTAGAGCAGTTCTAACTAACATACAAACATCTCGACTCTCCAGTAAATTCATATTTATGATTTGCTGTTTAGACTTACTTTCATAGTTATTGTATTATATCTAAATGAGCAACATAGCAGTTTCTGATCTTCACCTCTTTTTCACAGAGCTTTTTGTGAGACATGACACTTCCAGAAAAGATACCCAAACCCCCTGCTCCTCACAGACCCTGTCCACAGAGCACCCACCAGAGCCTGCCCTCCCCGGCCCTGTGCTGTGCCTGTGGATTATGTATCATGTTGGCTGGCATCAACATCACACTGGTCGGAGCCTTTGCCTTTGGCACCTTCATCTCTACAGTCAACGCCCCCATTATCATCGGGCCCCTGCTTTTGCTCTTAGCTCTGGCTTTCTTCACAGCCTGCTGCCTGAGGCCCCCGACCCACGAGGCGCAAAAAGGTGAGAAATGGGGGCTGATGCGGATAGGAACAGCAGTGTTTGAGATGGAGACGAGTGAGAACACGCTGCAGGACACTACTGCCGTCCAGCTCAGCCCCACCAACTCCCCCAGCTCCTACAGAGGTGATGCTGCGCCACCTGCCTGTCAGGACGGAGCTGGTGAAGCTGCTCACATCTTCTTAGATGATCTTAGATCTTAGAGGTTAACAAAGGAGATGAGGTCGTCGTGACCACTGACTGGAGATGACTGGGATAGTGACGTACAGATGCTGCCCACTCATCTTCCTCCGTGTAGATCAGGACTGTCAAACTCATTTTGGTTCAGGGGCTGCATGCAACCATATTAGATGTCATATTAGATGGGCTGGACCAGTACAATGACACCATAACAAATTATAAATTACAATAAGGCCATTTTTTCCCCTTTGTTGTCATGCTGAGAAGTACAAGTTTTTTGGATATTTATAGTTATTTATTCATATTTAATTATATAAAAAATAGTTTTACAGAAAACATGAAGTGTTTGTATGTTTACTGTATTTATATTTTCAAAAGTCATTAAGCGGGCTGGATTGGACATTCTAGCGGGCCGTTTTTGGCCCACGGGCCGTATGTTTGACACACCTGATGTGGATGGATACAGATATCAGCACTGTTCCAAAGGCTACGTGTCCAAATATTAGTCATCCAAGTGTTAACATGTTTTGAACAGTGTGTGTTTTCTTGAACCTTGTCTGAGACAGACTCTGTTTCTGTGTTACCTACTGTTGTACAAATCATCCTGTATATCCAGTGAAGGAGGATCATGTTGATTTGTGTCCACGTGCAGTATGTTCTTGTTACTGTACTGTGTTCAGTGAGCAAAATGAATGAAGCTGTTATATTTCCTGTATTTCCTGTGTGCGCCTTGTAAATAATAGCTAAATGATACTAAACTACAAAAGTACATTGTTGATTTTTCAAATACTGTTCAGTGTATTTGTTCCAACTGCAGCCAAGAGTGGCCTTTGTGCAGTGCAGACTTGAGACATTTGGGATCAAAAGTCATAAAATCATTGTACTTGCAACTTATTTGTTGGTATAATCTGCAATTCTGATTTCATTAGTTCCTCTTCAGGAGGAGGAACCACGAGCAGAGCCCCACCCTGACATTGTAATCCAGTGTCACGGTCACTTCATGTGTTGGTCTCATTTAGGAGCAGGTGATTCAGGTGTGTTTCCTTTCTTCACTGTGTTACATCAAGCCCAAATGTTTACGCTCATGCTCAGTTATGTGAGTGTGTGGTGTAATGACTAATTATACATGCTGATTCAGACACAGATACTGCAGTTGTGTTTACTTATTTTTTCATTTCATGTTGTAGTGCAATGGCTGTTATCAGTGACTGCAGTTACACATGTCTTTAGTGACGTTTGTACATGTATTCAATTAATAAAGTTTAAAACTAACTGTTATTATGAGTGTTTTCCTGTTTAACCTGGATAAAAAATATCCTTGTAGATTATATACAGAAAAAAACCCAGGAAGACACAAGGAACAATCCCTACACCGCTGAGAAGAATCACAGGAAAAGATAACAAAGAGTGTGGGTTCGTGTGCGTGTGACATGTCTTGACAACCTGAAGTCATTCAGTATCAATGAGGTCACACTGCTCCCTGTTAAATAACCAAATAAAAGTGGTTTCAGAATGGAGTTGATTTTTCCTGAGTTTATTCTTTATATATATATATATATATATATAAATATATATATATATATATTTATATATATTGCCTTTGGCACCTTTGGCACCTTCATCTCTACAGTCATATATATATATATATATATATATACATTTTCAGTCAATGCCCCTCGTTAGCCAATTAGCTTGACTGTCTTTCATTATTTATAAACACATGAAATTGCTGCAAAATTGCGAGGGAGCCTTAACTCTCCATTCTACTCAATGCACAAACAGGAAACGAGGGTAATTATGCCGGCAATGATTCACACCTGTGCGTAAGTGGGAGCCATATGAATAAGATGAACAAGAAAAAAAAAGCGCGTCGTGGCCGGGAAACTATACGGTAAAATGTTCTTTACTTTGTTACTTTTCTTTCAGCATTTCAAGCATTACGCCGTGATTTACATGTTTTGAAAGAAACACGGCCAAAAAAGAGGAAGTTCTTTTGCCTGTGAGCGGCTGTGACTGGACAACGGCTGTGACTTTTTCAATCACGTTTTCAAGAACAGTACTCAAAGTCACACAGCACAACTACACTCATTCTATTTTGGTTAATTGGACCTTTCCAATAATTAGCTTGTGCATAACAGAACAGACTAGTGGGCTTTAAGATTTCGATACTTTATTGAGACAGTAGAGGGCAGTATAACTCTTTCTTTTCAGGTTTTCAAAAAGGGCAGCTATACACGTATTCTCTCTGCTCCAGTTTACTTTGCTAAATATTTGCGTTACACACATTTCTCTACAAAAAAGTTTTGAATTGTCTTTAATCTTTTTGAAATTCAGTTTACAAAAAAACAAACAATTTTAACGCAGGATGTTTTAAGGCAAATACTTAAAAAAAAGTCTTCAGTAAGTTAAACTAACAGTCCAAATAGTGTCATCTAGGCAATGTTTTATTTTTAGGTTAATTACTACATTAAATAATGTATTTCTTAGTATATACTCACATCATTACACATAGACAGAAAGAGTAAATTAAAAATATATCAATTTTTGTTTCCTTTATAAATCTCAACACTGATTTGTGAATCAATCCTCATTTTTTGAAGAATCTAATTAAAAATTTGGAACTGGTCATAATTAGAATTAAAAAGACCATGGAGATTTAATGAACTCTCCTTGTAAATTATACCTTTTATGACGTTAGCTTACAAAATATTTGGCTACTGAACGTGACGGTCACACACTGCATCATCCTTGGGTTTTGCTTCTGCCTGGAGCTCGCAGCGTTTTAGAGGGATGCAGTGACCCTGAAACACATGCAGGTCATCTCTGAACCTGCACCTGAATAACACATTTCCCACAGGTAATACTCCACACTCTATCTCCTCCTAACAGGCAGACAGAACAATGGCAAGGTGACGGTGTCTTTGGACGGTCATTATGAAGTGACCTGATGTGCTTTGAATCTGAGGCCCTAACAAAAAAAATGGTCAAATTTATAAACATGTATTTGTCATTTAAACAGTTGTCATCAGGTTTTCCTTTATTTGTTTTATTTATTTATTTATTTTTAGTTTGCGTCTAAGTGTGCGTC